CCATGAAGAATTTCTTGAGCATATTCTCCTATTATCTCCTTGGGTCCAATGTCTCTGGATGGGTTCTGCTCGAAACTCCCAAAGAATTAACACTAGATACTTGGCTTCTGAGTATTGGTGAGTCAGTTGCTAGAGACAAACACAAAGCTAAGCTTCTTGGAGTAGTTGGAACCATGTGGTGCGAAATTTGGAAGGAGAGGTGCTCTGCTCACTTTGAAAATCGCAGACCTGATCCCATTAGTGTTATTCGCATATGCGAAAATAGCTTAACCGAAATGGGTTCCCTGAGTAGATTACAGGTTCTTGTTGGTAACTCTAGTAATGGTCATCTATCTTGGACGCCTCTTGAGAGAGGTTGCCATTAGTGTGGACGAAACCTGAACTAAGTTCTTCATGCTGGGGTGGGCTACGTTGTTGGAAACCACTTGGGCGAGCTTCTGAGTGGAGAACAGTGGCGGACCTGTGCAGGCGCAAAGAGGTGGGCCTGCACCTCCGGTCGCCGAAAATATCCATTACAAACGATGGAGTTGCACCTCTACTTCATACCAGGGATGCACATAAAGTGTTCAATGAAATGCGCACATTATGATACTTTACTTAGTATTAATACTATGTTTCATCCCGTGGTGAAGGTGCTTGAATGGATTGTTGATGATGTCAATCAAGATAATTTAGGTGAAGCAAATAGGTTATTGAAAGAAATACAAACTTTTGACCTTGTGTTTCACCTATATTTGATGAGATTTATATTGGAAATCACAAATGATTTGTCAAAGGCATTACAAAAGAAAGATCAAGATATTGTGAATGCAATGATGTTGGTCCAAAGATGTAAGCAAAAACTACAATCCGTGAGAGATGATGACTTTGATGATCTACTTGGCAAAGTATCAATATTTTGTGGCAACAATGATATTGATGTTCATAACATGGATGATTTATTTGTACCACAAGGGAGATCACGACGTAAAGCTCAGAAAATCACAACCCGCCATTATTATCGTGTGGACCTATTTCTTACTATCATTGATAAGCAACTAGTGGAATTGAATAATCGCTTCA